CTTGCCTTCCTTACTACTGCTGTTCTTTGCCCTAAGCATAGACGTATAGAAGCAAGCATCGTTAACAACTGGCCAGCGTGCGGGTGCCAAGCACTTCGTCAGGGGGGGAAGAATTCACCGCCCCCCCGCTGACACACCCAGGATTAGTCGAGGGGGGGGGGCTCGCTGTAAGTCCCAAGTCGTTTCGGCCCCGTGGTACTGTTTTTACGGTTTGTTCCGTTTCTTTTGCAATGTAGGGTTGGGTTCATCACCCGTGTTCCCTTTTAGGGCACCATTGTAACGGTCATTCATTCAATTGCACATGGCACATGTGCAGCTGCTGCTGCTCTTTTCTCCATTGCGAGTCAGCAACATCTATGCCAGAGGCGATTGGCATGCACCAGGAAGCTTTGCTTTGAAGGTCATTGTACACTGATTATGGTTCTTTATTGGAGAGCCTTTCATAAAAGTGCCTTCACGGCCGCGTGCGTCCGCAATGCTTTTCCCAGTCACTAATGAACAATTGACTTGCTTCGTTTTGTAACCGTGCATGATTTCCTTGCCCACACGTATGCCGACTGTTAAATCTCTGTTGAATACATAGGGTGCATAATTGATCTAACTGCCTCACATGGGCTTTTATTACATGAAAGGTCTATTCAACGCCCTAGTCGTCACCATTTCACCCTCGTCGACTAGCAAGTCACATTTTAGCATACAGTTAACTAGGTTTCATATTGTGCTATTGTTAGTGCTAAGTAGTGCTTGCCGAAAGACAGGATCACCGCTCCCAAAGGTTGCGATGCTGGCAGGGGGAGTGGGGGACGTTTTCAGAACTCTAGGCTTTGCTTGCTTAAGGGTCATACCGCATGCTGCGGTGTAAGCTGCAAATGTCTAAAAGCACAGCGACGATGATTGGGGCCAGCAGGAAGACATGCAAAACCAGCTTCTTTAAGATATTTCTTGGCTTAGATACGACGGAGCGTAGCGATCGGAGTCTCTAAGCCTGGTTCTGTGCGACTATCGTACGACCTAGATCAGGAGGCGAGATGTTTAGGCCTCCGCTCTCCTGGTTCAGGCATTCTGCCTTCACTCAGTTGAGCTTTCAGCCTAGTAGCTACTAGGCCCCGCCCGCCGTCTCCCCTCGTACTTGCTTGTCGTCGGGGAGAGGTTTTCCCGCCCTGGGTTGCCCGGTAACCCCTCCCTCTTGTGCTCGACCTCTACGTGTCTCCCCCTCCGTTCCCCCGTCTCATCCTCAGGCGGCTCGGCTCAAGGCTAGGCGCTCGCCCCGTCGCAGGCTGCCGGCGGCTCGGGTTTTGTCTTGGGGGGTTCGGTGGTTGTGAGGTTCTGGCGGAGGGGCGCTGTGTTGGGGGGGTCTTTGGTGGCGGCTGGGGTGAATGAATGACCGTTACAATGGTGCCCTAAAAGGGAACAGGGGTGATGAACCCAACCCTACATTGCAAAAGAAACGGAACAAACCGTAAAGACAGCACCACAACGGGCCAACAAGATGGGATACATAGCCCTAAAAGAAACCACAGGAGGTAAACAAGAGGGTAGAAGCCAAAAAAGGGCCCCTCAGCAAACCTCGACAAACCTCATCTAGGGCATAAGACAACCCAAACCGGAAGCCACGAACACACCACCCCAAAGACAGGGCCAAAACAGGACGCTCAACGGCACACAGACCAGACCGAAGCGATCTCGTGGCCTGCCCAAGCGGGTGTGCGGCATGGGGGGTTTATTTGGCAAGGGAGGGGCGTGGATGGAAGTGAAGGCAACGGGATGGAAGGTTAGAGTCGTTAGGGCAGAAGGGGCAAAGGGATGGAAGCACAGGGATGGGGACGGGATGGATTGGCAAGGGGTGTTTCGGGGAGAGAACGATAAAAGCATGGTAGCTGAGGGAGGGCGTGTTAGGTGACGGCATGGCACCTCTGCACACCACTGCGTTCGTCGAATGCTGGCAGAGCCTCGTCGCCAAAGTTGTCTTCTTCTACGTGGGCAGGGGTTTGTGGGTGGCATTCAGAGTCATGTTGGTCGCAACAGCTAGTATTCAGTGGTACGCTCTCTTCAGTGCAGCATTCTTCCAGCAATCTTCACTGAAATGCACTCATAACAAACAACGTACGTATAGCGCTCTCCTTTTGAGCACTGCTTGGAACAGATGTCACCTTTGTGTGTGCGATGGAGCAATGTCGTGGTTACCTTCAACAGTGGTTACCTTGAAACGCTATTGTTGCTGACGTTTACATTCTCCTCTGATGAACATAGAAGACGCTGAGTTTTCGCCAACTGCCCAAGTCGGTAGTGCACTTGTCTGTACGTGGCAGCACTTCCATTCAACTCCTTTACGACAGCTCCCGCTGTTACTTTTCTGTTGGAGGATTGTAGCGTGAGCACTGCTTTCTGAAACGCTGCTTCCTCGTCCAGAGTCCACTTTGAACGCTTCTTCGAAGGCTGAGTGGTAGGGTTGGGCCTAGGCCGGACATGCTTTTGCCCGGCTTTGTTGTTTTGCAAAAAGCTGGGAACACGTGTATACGTCAAGCCCTTCAAGCGCGTGTCGGAGCACACTTCATCATACAATAGCTTGGCAGTAAGTTTCAGTCCGCTAGAAGCAATAGTCTCGGCTGCTTTACACAGAGCCTCAACTTCATATGTTTTCCTGCATTCCCTGGCCATTGTGTGTATTGAGTAAGGAAGGCAATACCGAAGCCATTTGTGTCGGCCGTATTAAACTACGCTGCTGGCCTTACCGCGACAACAACCTAACGGATACCAGCGTGTAGCAAGCTATCAACATGCGCTGAAGGCCTCTCCTTTTGTAACTTGCTTTGTACTTTGTACGACACACGCCAACATCACTGCTCACCCATATACACATCATTATTTAACATCACAATACAACTAGCGTGGAGTGTCGCAGCCGTCTGTGGAGCTCTTGTCTCCTTTGGCACCGTATGCATCTTGGTGGGGGAAGGGGCTGGTGCCCCTTCCCCCATACCCCCATCCCCCCTTACGTGCATGCGCAAAAGTTATTACCTTTCAAACTCCTCCGGTGCATTAGGGGAAGTACGGTTGCGCTTTTTATCGTTGCCTCTGACCTGTTGTTGCACCTTCTCCTTCCATTCCCCGGTTTCCTCACTGTGACTTCTTGTTGCAATTCCTTGGAGATGTTGACATGTTTAACGCCTCTGCCTTGCCTGCATTATAATTTCTCAAATTGCCCAGCGGCTGCTTTTGCATAACTGCGCTACTTTGCGTACCGTTTTCCGTTGTCAGTGCTACGACAATGGAAGCTGCGCGAAGGTGTCAGCTCGCTTGAGCGACTGAGGCTGCGAACAAACACCTGTGCCATGATTATGTGACGAACGCTGCAGCTAGAAACTCCTCTCAACTCATAACAATCGTTCTTGACTTGGAGCCACAGCGCAGGTTGTCTTTGTGACTTGCATATACACATTCAAATTCCAAACCTTTTGCAAGAAAAAGATGCCAAAAAGCTCACGCAAAAATCTCTACAATTTGCCGGGGTGTTCACTAAGGCTGTTCCCTTGCTTCCAAGCCGCGGCCTGGCGGAGCGTCTAGAATCAAGGGCAGGCCAAAAACCGCCCGCCAACAATACGTAAGAAAGGATGAGAAGGGCCAACCCCAGCCCATCCCCGACGGGGAACACCCAATCAAGCAAAACCCCGAAGCTGACCCCAGAACCAGGAAACAGCAGACAGGGCCACCACATCAGCAAGCCCAGACAAAACACCCGCAGAACCAGACTCACTTACACGAGCCCGTAACAACCGCCGACCCTCCTCCATAGCGGACAAAGCAGCCAAACCAACAACATCCCAAATGCACTGCTGCACGCCCGAAGGAGGCAACGCCAACCACAAGGCAGCCCGAGGAACCGCAACACCCAGCGATACCTCAAGCTGGTCAACCACAGCACGAGCAAGACCCAGAAAAAATGCAACCGCGGAGACTCCCCCAAGACAACGGACCCACAACCACAACATTCCGGACGAGCCCTAGACATATGAGAATTCCCCAGCAAGGGAACCCCATCAATAGAAAGACGCCAAAACGCTTCCTTGAAACCATTCTCCCAACAAATCGACCAAATACGCTGGAAAGAATCACGAAGGCCATCCAAGACACCCTCAGGAAGCTGCTGGGTAACCCCAGGGCCTCCCGAATAAAAGCCGCATGCAACACAGCACGTTCCTCAAACACACCCCCAAGCTGAAGAACGGTAGCCATCCTAACCGACAGATTCCTCAAAGGAACGGCGCCAACATGAGGCAACTGCCACCCCAAACGGGGAACCAAAACCTGCCAAGCATCAACCTCAGAAGCCGGCGGAGGTTGGGGCGGCAAGGCATCAACAGCTGTCCCAACCGTCCCGCTTTTGACACGTCCCGCTTGGCACTAGTCAGCAACTGTTACAGCCTAAACAGAGAGCCTCTCGAGATAGGTAACGGGAGACAGGAGCACAGAATCAGGAGCTTCTTCATAGTGCAGATGCATCTTACCAGAAAGCGGTAGGGAAAAGGGATAGGGTGCGAGGATTATTGAGCAGGCTAGGTAGTGTTGGAAAGGGTGCGAGCACGGAGAGGATGTGGAGGCCGTCCACATGACCGCGAGGAAGAGATGTGGGAAAGTGTGGTGGCAAGTGGGACCAGGTAGGTAGGGATGGAAGGAGGGAGGGGCGGAAAGCGCAGGAGGAAGGAAGGGGACGAAGGCGTGAGAGAAGGAAATGGGGGAGAGAGGGAACGTAAAAGGGAGCTCACGAGGGCGGGGCGAGGGGTATGAATATGGCCTGTGTGCGTGTGATGGGGGGTCGACCCCTTTTCTGCTGCTTTACAAAGGAGTTTGCAGCTTCCTATGTCACTGGATGCGACCGCTCAGGGTCTTTGCTGCTTGACGGCCCCGAGTATGCAGACGTTGTTACCGGGAAGTATGCAGATGTTACAGTTACGACACATGTGTGACGTACAACCCTGAATTGAATCCACGGCTTTTCTACGAGTTAATAGTAGGCGTTCCATGAGTTAAGATAAGTGAAGATAGCAGAAGTCGCATGCCGATAGATACTGTCTTTTATGTACCACACGCTCTGACGAGTAGTGTAAACACCTGCGTTGTAAAGATGACTGCTGATATATAGACGCATAGATGTTCCGTTGCTAAGGTAGTAGCAATTTCATAGCGTCAGACCCAAAGCATAGACATGATGTTCATCAGCGCTAGCCGTTCGCGGCACACAAACCTTTTGCCTGCGACTGCTTGCTTCGTATGTCTTTTGTCATGCCTGTCATTAAACGCAGAGCTTCCTTTTGGTTCCCAGAAGTGCGTATTCATCTTGGCTACTGGTCGCTCGGGCTCGACGTCGCTAATGGACGCACTAAACCAGATTCCACACTATCTTATTCGCGGAGAGACTTGGAGGGCCCATGGAAACTTGTTTGACGCGTACCAGTAAGTCAAGCCGTTGCCCTTACACGTACGGCCGCCACTTGCTCACGGATGTCCTACACCAAAGCATCCGAGTAATTAACTTTAGATACCGATGAGGGGTTGGGCGGGCTAACCTAATACTCTTTGCTGGGTGTAAACAATCGAAACCTATGCCAAGTTTCTATGAGTAATGGGTTGGGAGGATGAGGAACTACCAGCAGAGAGCAGGTAAAGCCTTATTGGCATCATTATGGCCTAAACCCTGATGATGGTTAGTCATCCGAGAGAGCAGGACTTCTATGTTACATGGGGAAGGGACGGGGAAGACACGTTGCCCATGCATCTAGCATACCGGGAGTAGTTCTCTTCTTGTATGTTCAGCCCGCTGACAATTTGTGCCGTCGTCATGAAAAGATGTAGCCAAGGTACGTCCCTTGGTTCACCTGTGTTTGCTAACCCGCGTGCATTCGATACCACCCTTCAAATCATCTTAAACTCCTCGTTTGTCTTACGCGTTGCTGCACCCTGCTGTTGCCTGCCCATCTTTCGGCTCCTGCAGGCACTTATGTGAAGCAAGGACTTCTCCGGGACAAGAGTTCTTTCATTTTGCCAACATACGGGAACGCTATATAGATGTTAAGCTGGCATACGGAAAGCTTGCGGAGACAACCAAGCTGCCCTTTTTTAACGAGTTCTCAGAAGACCGGATACTTCTGGCGACACGTGCATACTACACTGTACTGTACGGGCATTACGGGAAAGGTACTATGCTTGTGTGTGCCTGTAGTAATCCTGAATCCCCCGGTAACTTTGCATCCCAAATACATTTTGAGCTACAGCAGTCAGGTGGCCTTTAAGCGTACAGTTGCTGGCAATGCGGTTTGCAATGCAAGCCTGTCAAATGCTACAACTAATCGTGACGCCCCAATGCAAATGCAGACGTCGTCACCGGGTTCAAGGAAATCCGTTACGTTTGTGGAGAACTTTACTTCAACCAAACACGGTGTGGTGAACATTTCCAGAAGTTTGTCCGTTTCCTTCGAGGCATGTGTCATGATGTAAAGGTGAGCTCCGTAGCAGGGTGACCGCACCTGATATCCTGTTGGTATGCAGACGATAAAAGTCGTACTTGCGTGCTTGCAGTTTCTTTTCAACACAAGGTTATCAGCCTCTCTAGAATCCAACGTCAAACGGTTCCAGATGTTTAATAACGCTACCTTCGCCGCGGACTTCACCCACCTCCTCAACGAGACCCACACGCTGTACGACAATTATGCAATGCAACACAGCGATCACGCATTCCGGGTTTACATGGAAGACATGTTTAACATCAAGGTTGGTACCACCATATGCGTGCGGACGGTAGTCAGTAGCGTAATGGCTTGGAAACTAGTATTGTGACAGCAATTTGCTGCATGTGCGTGCTTTGGGCTGCCCTAGGCAGGCAGTGCCAACCAGACATATCCAGACATTCTGCTCCCGAAGACAATTATGCTCCACCTAATGTTCGGTTACGTAACTCCCAGATTTCTGCCATCTTTCGCCAACGTGTCGCAGAGGAACGCAACTTTGGCGAGAAACCTGCTCCAGTTCCTTGGGGAGGACACGACAATTCCCATACGGTTTAATCGCATGCCCGGGTGGCAGCCAAGCTATCCCACCCCGTAATAAAGGGCTGTGTCGAAGCAGTGTGGAGGATCTTACGCCGTTGTTTGCGAAAAGCTTATTCACCATAATCGGAGATGGCTCGCCTGCGGCTCAGCGGGGTGGGTGCGGGCTCGCTGAACCGCTTGTGCAATCTGATGGACCTGCGCCTGACGTCTATTATCGCCACGGGCCAGTCATGATCAAGCGCTAAGCAGGAGATTGCCAATGGGTATTTCCGGCGCTTGCATGGGAAGATTGACAACCCCACTGGCGCGTGGGCCAAGGGCAACCTCTCTTTCGGGGACGTACAGCACGACATCAAGGGTGAGGCAGAGGTGGTGGTTAAGGACTCCGCGGGGAGCAGCAGCCAGAACAACCACAGGGGGGAGAAGCGGAGCTACGAGCAAGCGGGCAGCAGCTACAGGCCGAGCAGCAGCTACAACGGAGGCGGCTACAGCTACAAGGGCTCCAAGCGGCCGGAGCAGCAGCAGTACAAGAAGGCGAAGCACTGATGCATTGGTGGTTACGGCCGTTTGGGCCCTGTTAACCTTGCTTTGGAGAGTTCGGCGCGTGAGGCGCGGTGCGATCAGCCTTTGGCTATCATTATTTTCTTTGGGCCGTTTGCGCCATGGTTTTATGTTTTTCCTCGTTTGGAGGATGGAGCGTGGCACTGGTGACAACTCTCCATTGTCTTTTATCGCCGTCGGACTGTTGGGGTCACGGTAATAATGGAGGGCTACTTAAGCCTGCCCATAATGCATTTGTATATGCAGACGTCTTGGACATGGATGGAAGAACATGGCCTAAGCGGCCGTTGAGCTGTTCAGGACCTTATTACTTTTTATGCTTCCTACTGTTTTATCGATTTTAAGTGCACCAGAGTTAGGTGAAACTTTGGTTCTGTAGGACACGCGTTCATCTGGTTGATCTGGATGAGTAAGGCAGTTGTAAGGCTCTTATGCCTACAAGTATTCAGAAATCTGTCAGCACAATCGGCCACTAGTGCATCTTAAACATGGGTTTGGGCGTCGGGACGCGTGGGTTAGGCTTGGGGTTCTCGGTTGGTGTGGAGGCGACGTACGGTTGGTTGGCTTCGGCTTACATTATCTGCTGCAACGCTGACACCAGACCCTTGTTGGTGGTGCGACCCTTGTTGAGAGGAGAGAAAGAGTCTTGCTTGGCCTTGACTTGTTACCAGAAAGGAAAGAAGGACTATCGGGCCTTTACCGGAACCATCTGCCTACCCGTCCTGGGTCAGGGTCTTGGACTGGTTAACTAACATAGCACATAACTCCGCCTTTTATACTATTGGAAATGTACAACAAATAGTACGGCAATTTTACGGCAAGGCCTACCAAAACCTACTATGGCAGGTACTAGAAGCTGTCAACGTAAGCCCAAATGTTCTAGAGGCCATCCGACACCTTCGTACAGCTTTTCCCGTACAGGGTTTCGGAGGCCTACCGACCGACCCGCGGGTCAAACCCTCTAAGGCAGCCGCAAAGCTATCAAACGCATACAAATCATTAAGCAGGAATTATAACACATATGTTTGCAAAAGCAAAACAAACAAACAAACATGTTCGCTAAAGCATCTTTTCCCAAACCACATCCAAAACACTTTTACGACTCCTCCATGCATCTTAGGCAAAAGTAGCTGACAAAGCCTTCCAACCCCACCAAGACACCCATGGTGTCCGAGCCAACTAAGGGAAACACGATCATGACATGGAGGCCATCTCTCTGCAACCTAGCATATAGAAGACGGCTATAGAAGATGGCTAGAACCCGTGGGGGAACGTGGGGGAACGGGTAACCGTTCCCTAAATACCTAAGTCCACCGGCGGTGGTGTTGGCATCCATGGAATAACACCCCTCAACGTCCCGTACTCTTTGCCACACATAGAGTAGATTACTGAGCAAGCCGTAAGCCAACAACACTGTGGCTGAAAAGCCCTAGCCACCTTGCGACTGCCATAACTGGATCTTAGATTAAAAACTCCGTATAGACACACCTATACACCACTGAATACCTTCAATGCTTCCTAGCTACCAGAAACCTTTTCTATTAATGGCTCGCTAATAATCGGCCGCAGACACATTCAATCCGGCTTTAGTAATGCTGCCCCTCAAAGCCGCCCTTCCGTGTGATGCGGCTGCCGCCAGTCCAGCTCCTCGAATTCGCCAGCACCTCGAAGCCATTCCCTATGGTAGTATTGCACGAAGACCGGCACAAATGGCTTACAGCCGCCTTGGAAGTGTATGACAGGCAGACAGAGGCCACTCGCCCTGTGAACTGGCACTGGCAGCCCCTGAGTGTTCTTCTGCCACTCCACCACCTCCTTAAATGCTGTCAGGTTGGAGCACACTGTGTTTTCACGGTTGACCAATTGGTTGGAGCGCACTTTAAAAAAGCTCTCCACTGCCTGCACCTGAGAGCTGGCGAGGCACCCAGAGAACCTGCTGTCGCACTGTGGCTTGCCAGGCAGCTGCTCACAAAGGATGCGGTGCTTTGTCGAATTTGTTTTGAGAAAGTACAGGTTTAACCACTCCATGTCATGTAGTGTATTCCATTGGGCTGCAGTGCGCCCAATCAAGAGGGCATACGCCTGCAGCGTTGCCATGTCCTGCGCGTAGTAGGTGCTGATCCAGTCGCAGAGCCCGTGCAGGGCTGTGATGTTGTTGATGATGATAAACTGACTGGTGTGGTAGCAGGCACTGACGATGTCCTCGGTGTAGGGTGCCGCAATGTCTGCCACCGACGAGAAGAGTGCCATGTCGGCGTCAATCGCCATGAGACGATTAATGCCTGATTTATTATCAGGGATTGAAGAGGGGTAAACGGGGGAACAAAGATTTATGGTTTAGATTGATGTCAACGACAAGATGTTGATACGATGATGGCAGATACAGGGGAGCTATGGGATTAACGTTCGTAAACCGAGGGGTGGGGATGGAATGTTTCACCGCAAAATGGCACGTAGTTAATAGGGGTGTTTTTTTGGCTTAGGCTTGGTTTCGGACAGCAACCTATGAAGTGCACCTAAGTAGGCGGACGGAACTCAGCTACTCCTTAGCACCGTGACGCCACGGTTCTTCCTGGTTCCTGAAGTACATAGAAGCAGTCCACCTAGCAACGCTTAGGAGCGTGTAGCCTACGACATAGGGTTGAGATTGCGGTTCAGGGTTGAGGTGGCAGACGGAGTTGGCGAGTCCCAGGCACTCGGCCTATTTTAGCAAGAGTTTTCTCCGCCATAGGGAAGACAGGGACGCTTCCGGTGCAGCGTTTCTATCTTACTTCGTTTTTTCGTGAAACTTCTGAAAATGGCACATTTCTTAAGGCGGAAAATGACCAAAATTGTCAACGTTTTTTAGCCTTTTCTAGGGCAGGTGATCGTAGAGCCTCAAGATGATATTCTGCCAACATCGTGGGATCGACGCTCACATTTTTGCCCCATGGTCCGAAACCCGGAGCCGTAGACACGCGCCGAGCCTGCCCAATTCAGTGTTTCCCAGCCTTTTTCCAATGACACAGATACCTGGTTGTGTGGGCTCAACCTTGGTCTTTTGTTGTTATGGATATGGCTAGAGCGGCATAACGGGAACCTAGCTGAGCCGAACCATGCTAAATGTTAGGAGGGGTAGCTTGTGCATGGCAGGGTTTGGGCACATACATCGTACACGTATCGGGAACAATGCACAACGCCCAAATAGGGAAAAACAAGGCAACTCGATACCAACTTGCAGGACCCCTGACCTCCCATATGCTAGCTGGTTGGGTACATGGAACTTCCACGCCACACATGGCCAATGCACGTATACTGCTGCCTTTACCTTCGCTTCCCTAACAGCTACGTTGCACCTTAACAAAAGACAACAGGAAAACACATTCGGTCGTCGTTCCCAACATTCACAGTAGCAACACATAACACCAACTTCATGTCCATGCCCCATAACAATGTTGTCTGCGCGTGCAAACATCCGTTCTTCAAGGTACCGTGGCTTACACATAGCAATAGTCTGGAAACATTTACAATGTTATGGCTTCGTGCGCGATGTTTCCTAAACAGGAAAGTTTCCGAGGACCATAAGTCCGGGGTGTTCCCTAAGGCTTTTCCCTTGCTTCCACGGCGCGGCCTATCGGAGCGCCTAGAATCAAGGGCAGGCCAAAAAGCATGCAATGCTTACAATAATCGGCTGTCACCGCTGCTGCCAGGCTGCCTTGTAAGAAAACGCGGTGGCGGACCCTAGCTTGATAACCGTGGTGGTGCTGGTTGCATTTACCGTTGGGGTTAGCTAGCAGCAGCCGGGATCCTTCACGGCCAAGGTAGGTGGGGTGATGAAGGGGAAGGTCTTTCCACTTCTAGTGGCTGAAGGCACACCACCACCGCAAACGTAACCACCGTGGGCGCGTGAGTAGGTCGGGGGGGGGAGACCCCCCAAGAGAGTAAAAGGGTTAAGGCTAGCAGAAGCGCTGTGCTACACTTTAGGGTACGGGCACGTCGTGAATTGGGCCCTTTCATTTGGCTGCTGTAGTACCGCTGGTCAAGGCACGAAAATCTAGCAGCCCATTTCCGAAAAAATAGGCCCTTGGGAGGCCCCAGATCGTACACGAAAAATTTCAGGGGTCTCACGTAAGGACCGTCGAACAAATTGGGCCTAAAATGTCTCGGATCGTGGGGTTCCACGATTGCCCTGGAGGGAAGATAGAAACACTGTTCCGGTCGGCTTTTTGGACGGGGTCATTTACGGTTTTGTGGAAGGGTAGGGGGGCCGTTCACTAGCCGGTAATTACCGTCCTATTAGTTTAGGTTTTCCGCAGCCGCTGCATACCGTTTTCAGTTGTCCCCCTCTACTGAAAACGGTCCCCCTCTACGACAAAGGAAGCTGCATGAAGGTGTCAGCTCGCTTGAGCGACTGAGGCTGCGAACTAGTGTGGAGTGTCGCAGCCGTCTGTGGAGCTCTTGTCTCCTTTGGCACCCTATGCATCTTGGTGGGGGAAGGGGCTGGTGCCCCTTCCCCCATACCCCCATCCCCCCTTACATGCATGCGCAAAAGGTAATACCTTTCAAACTCCTCCGGTGCATTAAGGTAAGAACGTTTGCGCTTTTTTGGCCTGCCCTTGATTCTAGACGCTCCGCCAGGCCGCGGCTTGGAAGCAAGGGAACAGCCTTAGTGAACACCCCGGCAAATTGTAGAGATTTTTGCGTGAGCTTTTTGGCATCTTTTTCTTGCAAAAGGTTTGGAATTTGAATGTGTATATGCAAGTCACAAAGACAACCTGCGCTGTGGCTCCAAGTCAAGAACGATTGTTATGAGTTGAGAGGAGTTTCTAGCTGCAGCGTTCGTCACATAATCATGGCACAGGTGTTTGTTGTATTGTGATGTTAAATAATGATGTGTATATGGGTGAGCAGTGATGTTGGCGTGTGTCGTACAAAGTACAAAGCAAGTTACAAAGCTTGCTACACGCTGGTATCCGTTAGGTTGTTGTCGCGGTAAGGCCAGCAGCGTAGTTTAATACGGCCGACACAAATGGCTTCGGTATTGCCTTCCTTACTCAATACACACAATGGCCAGGGAATGCAGGAAAACATATGAAGTTGAGGCTCTGTGTAAAGCAGCCGAGACTATTGCTTCTAGCGGACTGAAACTTACTGCCAAGCTATTGTATGATGAAGTGTGCTCCGACACGCGCTTGAAGGGCTTGACGTATACACGTGTTCCCAGCTTTTTGCAAAACAACAAAGCCGGGCAAAAGCATGTCCGGCCTAGGCCCAACCCTACCACTCAGCCTTCGAAGAAGCGTTCAAAGTGGACTCTGGACGAGGAAGCAGCGTTTCAGAAAGCAGTGCTCACGCTACAATCCTCCAACAGAAAAGTAACAGCGGGAGCTGTCGTAAAGGAGTTGAATGGAAGTGCTGCCACGTACAGACAAGTGCACTACCGACTTGGGCAGTTGGCGAAAACTCAGCGTCTTCTATGTTCATCAGAGGAGAATGTAAACGTCAGCAACAATAGCGTTTCAAGGTAACCACTGTTGAAGGTAACCACGACATTGCTCCATCGCACACACAAAGGTGACATCTGTTCCAAGCAGTGCTCAAAAGGAGAGCGCTATACGTACGTTGTTTGTTATGAGTGCATTTCAGTGAAGATTGCTGGAAGAATGCTGCACTGAAGAGAGCGTACCACTGAATACTAGCTGTTGCGACCAACATGACTCTGAATGCCACCCACAAACCCCTGCCCACGTAGAAGAAGACAACTTTGGCGACGAGGCTCTGCCAGCATTCGACGAACGCAGTGGTGTGCAGAGGTGCCATGCCGTCACCTAACACGCCCTCCCTCAGCTACCATGCTTTTATCGTTCTCTCCCCGAAACACCCCTTGCCAATCCATCCCGTCCCCATCCCTGTGCTTCCATCCCTTTGCCCCTTCTGCCCTAACGACTCTAACCTTCCATCCCGTTGCCTTCACTTCCATCCCCGCCCCTCCCTTGCCAAATAAACCCCCCATGCCGCACACCCGCTTGGGCAGGCCACGAGATCGCTTCGGTCTGGTATTCGTTACCTCTGACCTGTTGTTGCACCTTCATGCAGCCTGGATGCTGATCGGGAAAGGGACTGCGCTTGTTGAGCGCATGTCGATGGCGTCGATGCTAAAGCTTAGGTATTCGATAGCTGCTGTAGCTTTGCCTCATGTCAACGTTCTGTTGCAGTGTTTGCTTATCGCTACCTTTGTCGTGAGAGGAGCTGCTGCTTGCTAGCCGCAATGCATTACACTAAGCCTTCTTGCGATTTTAGCCAGGATGCGCATTTGATCTGCATGCATTCTTACTACTCAAACTGCCCAGCAGCTGCAACGTGACATTTGCCATCTTTCCTAAGGGGCCATTCACATTGAGGCTGAAATAGGTGAGGCTGTAACCGAAAGTGAATACAATATTCAATTCCGCCTCATTCACATTGAGGCCAATATGCTGGCGGCAATTTAGTATTCGCCTCACTACCTCTACTTTCAGAAGTAGAGGATCGAAGCTGAAACTGAAATACTTGCAATAGAGTAAAATATTCACCCAGACGGCTCGCAAAGTAGTTCACAGACCCAAACCAGTTCGCAACGCTATAGATCCCCGATAAATACACTACCGCATACACCTATTTATTTGACAATCCTACAAGCTTTTCGCGGTTCGCGGCGCCCTCATGAGCAGCCTTTTCGACTATGACGATGACCTAAACTAAGGCGACCTGAGCCCCAGCTTAGGTATGCGGTTGACAGTAATGAAAGCTACCAGTTTAGCGAAGATGGGGACCATGACAGTGAGGAGCTAGGCACTTTGCCGTTGGTGACGGACCCTGCTGAGCGAACTAAGTTTGCTCCCGCAGCTGCTCAAGCAACACCACTTACAATCCTACTATCTTAAACTTAGGCTTGCGCTCGCAACCCGTTAACTTTATGGCAAGTCGGTAAAAGCCTCACTTTCTTTGCAAATGTGAACGAAATCTGAGGCCGAAACGGGTTTTCGCCTCATGCGGCTTCACTGAATATAATACTCAAAATCCTAATGTGAATACCGCCTAAGTCACCCTGGAAAGGCTATTCACATGTGAGTGAGTTTGGGAATGAGTGCGTAGGAGAGCGTAGGGGAAAGTTGTTCATATAGTAACAATTAATTACGTTTGGCCTGGAATTATTTTTAACAACGCCTGAGTTCAAGAAATAATTCCATAGGTGAAACATGAGTGAATCATGAGAGAAGTTGAGTGAAGTGAGTGAAGAAACTCGTGAGCAGGCAAATAGCATCCCTATGCCAAGCGCATACTTTGGTTGCTTTCCCAGACTTCGCGACTGCATATTTTTGTTCTCGATATACTACTGTCTCATAGAAAGCTTTGCGCGGCCTAGCGCGGTGCGAGTTTGACGAATTTGCTAACATTGGTCGCGACAAGCAACTACCGCGTGCGCATGGCTGCGGAGGCCTACGAAGAGTTCATCTTGGCAGGTCTACGCAGCCGCTAGCTTTCTGCCTTGCTGCCCGTGTTCGGTCGCGGTCGCGGCATTTCGACTCTCACTGTACGCCCGACCAATGTGAACGCATATTGAGTTTTTTCGACTCATTCACGCACCCTCACTCAAAATTACCTCCTTCATATATGAATGGCCCCTAAAAACAGAAAACAAAAGCCGAAAATGTTGCCGCTCATTGTGATATCATGCTGCAAGCACCTTCTGCTGTCTGGCTGGATACGCAAACTCATGTAACAACAGCCCACAGGGCCCTAAACTCAATGTGAACGCGTGCGTGGCTTATATTGCGCTTTGCCCGACGGCTGCATGAACACTTTTCGGGATGCGTCAACTCTCCCTAAATTAGGGTAATCAGTCTCGATCCCTTGCAAACAAAGAGCTCCATAATTACTGCCAATAGGCCCCAAACCCACCTTCATCGCTTGCCACAGCTGCGTAAGTGCAGAACCTGTAGTTTTCTTGGCCCGCCCATTGAGCAGGCACACTCTGCCGAAGCCTGGCCATATCGGAATTTTTCGACATGTAAGCAGCGCTTAAACGCACTTCCACTTGTAGGTTTGCCAGTTGCTCCAGCAAGCCTGCATCCTCGACGACCGCTTCTCTGTCCAAAATCACATAGATCTTGGTCGTTGGGTTGTAGTGCCGCGTCACACGTAGCAAAGATTGAAGCCAAGGATTGTGGCGCTGTGGAGCGCGGGTGACCGTAAGGAAAAGCGCCATGTCAGAGTTGTGTGTCGGCATACTAGCCGGGGAGGCGGAGGAGGCGAAGCGACATGTTTCAAGTCCTGAGGCACCTAAAATAAGGACGTTTATTATTAACCAAGTAAGGTTTGACATTTTTAACCTTTCAGCAACCCTTCAAGTCGGGCAAGGAGAACAAATGCACCGCTGAGAACAAATAAGTTATAGGCCTGCAATAGGAGTGTTTAGCCCTGTTTCCATGGGACATAGGAATTTTGGTTTTTGGTCGTACCCCTTCCTACGAACTTCCTACGGGGCTGTTTCCATGGAGTAAAGAAGCCAAGGCTGAGACCACAGTACCTGGCCAGTATATTAAGGCGATATCGAACCATTTAATGCATTTTGTGCTGCGCTTACGCCTAAACGTTTCCTTTGGTTCTTCCGCAAAGTTTGTTACTTGGACTTCATTCGTCTTCACGCTATAGTAGGAGCGGTGTTTATGTTTCATGTTCTATCCGGCGCCTTGGCACTTCAATGATCAGCACCGTCCAGTGGTTCCCCCCCGAGGGTGTTATCCTTTTTAGGAATCCAGTATTCGACTGCTCAACTCGCGCCAGTGAGGAAAGGAAACCACCGGTTGCCTTTATGCCGTGTCTGGTATACTTTGACGCGCTGGTGTAGTTGCCGGGCCCCAGCGGCTCCAAACGCGTTCGCCGCTCAATGGGCGGTTCGCCTCAGGTGCAAAAACGTACATGGCCCGGCCCCCTCCGCCCTTACACTGAGCATAAGCCTATTGAGTGGCGCTTGCTTTGCGATGCCTGCTTGCATTTTGGCTAATGGGTCCCTATCTCCCTAACATGGTCGCCAACATTGCTGTCCCCAAGCCAACAGTTCCTTCAAAAGAGTAAATCTATAGGCAAAGCCTCTAGAGTTATTGTACTGCACGTGATTCTGTGACCCAGGAATATTGTCGTCGCGACTTCAGCGCAATGTGAACTGCATTTGCATGCTGCGATACGCCTACCTAAGGACAAATTCAACACTGCTTTATTAGCCGGCATGCGTATGCGCAAGGAAAGCATGCATACTTGAAAAGCGAACCAAGTCTGTTGTTCGTTGGTGTCTTGAAAAAATGTTGCAGACACACGCGGACACGAAGGCACTTTTATAGAATGCTCTTCAATAAAGAACTGTAATCAGTATACAACAACGTGTTCAAGAGGTGAGACGCGCGAACAACACGCGTGCGACCCAACCTAGAGTTGCTAACAATGAACGGTGCAACCCCTGCTCCTTTCACTGCCATATCTGACAAGCCGCTATTTACATTCTTTTAAGCAGTGCTTTCCTGACGCAAGCTAGGCGCATCGCAGCATGCAAGTGCAGTTCACATTACCCTGCGACTCGTGACGACAATATTCCTGGGTCACAAGATCACGTGCAGTACAATAACTCCAAAGGCTTTGCCTATAAAAGTACTCTTTTGAAGGATCTGTTGGCTTGGGGACTGCAATGTTGGCGACCGTGTTAGGGACCCATTAGCCAAAATGCAAGCATGCATCGCAAAGCAAGCGCCACTCATTAGGTTTATGCTCATTGTAAGGGCGGGGGGCCGGGCCCGTTTCTGCACCTGAGGCGAACCGCCCAATAAGCGGCGAACGCGTTTGGAGCCGCTGGGGCCCGGCATAACTACACAAGCGCGTCAAAGTATACAGGACACGGCATAAAGGCAACCGGTGGTTTTCTTTCCCTCACTGGCGCAAGTTGAGCAGTCGAATACTGGATTCCAAAAAATGATAACACCCTCTGGGGGGGAGGATTATCGCTATTATCAATTATCGCTATTATCAATTATCGCTATTGCAAACACCTCGAGGAACATATTGTAACAATATATAATAGTATCAGTTGTACGCTGCCTGCAAATAGGTGTGGTCGACATGCTTACCTCATTGCACCTTGTGCCCAAGCAAACCTAAACCTACCCGCTTTCTTTTCAGCTGTTATACCGTCATTTATAAACTCTCCTACACGTTTTCGACAACAGCTCAGTGCCCGACGCAATGAAGAGTAGCTTTCCAGGTGAGAACCCCGGCTATGGCCCTAGCTTGTCAACTACTGTTTCTCATTTCCTACAGTCTCAATGCAATACCAAATAGCTCTTGCGAGGTGTCGAAATAGAGTGTGCGGTGACTGGCTGCTGCTACTGCTGCCCTCACGGGCAGGCATGGGGCGAACGGGGGATGAAGCGCCGGCGCAGGAGGAGGGCCGTGACTGGCTGCTGCTGCCACACCCTACAGATTGTGTATACCAAGGCTCAGCTCTGTGCATGAAAACTCAATGGCTTGAAGTAACAAGGGCTATTGGGGGCGAGGACAACACAGGCACAAGACAGAAACAGGCTATGCCAACTATCTTCACCTGCGCTGCTATGTCCTCTCCTAGAGTCCCGGTCCGTGCGGTTTGAGTGCTTGATGGGCCGCTGCCTGGGACGGATGGCTGCTGTCCAATCCACTGGTGACTGTACAACCGTACCGTTGTTGACCATTCCCTTGGTCTCGACCGGCTGAGGGGAAACTGGCCCGCCCCCGGAATGCTCGGCACCCTGCTGCATGGCCGCTGTGACCGTGGCACCTGGGGCCTGCTGCTGAGGACAGTGCCCGGGGTCGGGAACAGCCACACACCCGCTGGCGGCACCCGGGGCAGGTGCGTGGGCTGGTGCCCCCTGGGCTCGCCTGTCCTCCTCCGCAAGTGACGGCTGGCAGCTGACCGGGGTGCAGTAGTAGGCCGTCTGCATGCTGTCCATATAGAGCTGCCTGCGGGCCAACTGTCTGGAGAGGTCTGCCACTTGTGACTCCAGCAACAAACTGCCGTCGGCGAGAAGGGGCGCTCCTGCCGCCATCCCATTCTCCCGCTGGTTGCGGTCACTGGGGCGGTTAGGGGGTCCCTAATTAGGCTCGCGCCGTTGCCCCGTGATGCAGAAAGGTCAGCTCTATGGGTTAGAATATTGGGAGGCAGCCGCCGCCGGGGAAGGGCAGGGGCACAAGCGCGGGCCGCGCAGGTAAGGACAGTCGCATGGGGAGGGCATGGGGAGACCAGGTAGGTACAGCGCGGGGACGGGCATCCTGCACTGGGAAGAACTTACGCCGCGAGACAGGCACTGCGCGCATCCCTTATCACCTTCCGACGATCCAGGCACGCATTGCACGGGGAAGGGCAAGGGCAGGCAGACGCCTCACGCGGAAACACGGGGGTAGGCAAGCGCCGCGCGGGGAAGAGCCACTTTACGGCCATGGTAGCGGCCACTTACTTTTAGTAATCTCGCAGCGCGGGCACGAGGTATCAGAAACGGGCAATCCCTATGTGAGGCAGTGGTTACGTTACAGCTCGCATGCATGAAGGCGTCGGCAAATCTGACATGCGTTTGAGCCGCAAGCAGTATACAAATGATGACTATTATAAACCAGAGCTTCTTTGGTGTTACATGCAGGCTTTCTAGCAGCGGAAACGAGAATGCTCTCCAATTATGCAGCTCATTGCTCGCACCTCCACGGACAGCCAGGACGAACTTTGGTCTATGCATAGAATTGCCAAATGAATAGAAATAAGCAATAACAAAGCAGCTTTGCCCATGTGGTACACGTGCTTAGGAAAATGCCCGTACTGGACAAGCCTTTTTGACGGCACCATGCTGTATTGAATGTTGTGGCCGACCGTAATTAAAGACTTCTAATTACTCAAGAAGACATAAAGTAAGAAACAAGTTGACAGAAAAGTATTTATGCTACTCGGCCCGTATTATGAAAAGCTAATCAATGTCAATAGCAATGGTAAAAGAGCTGTGCGAAACCTCAGAGCTGGGTGCAGACGTGTCTAGTTGAGACGTCCGGTCAACGAACGGCTTGTGCCTAGCACTGAGGAGGTAACAGTAGTGCCCTAGGACAAAGAAAATAGCGAAAAGAGGATGTTCTAGGTTCCCGCCTTTTGGTTACCGGAATTGTTAAGGGTTAGGGGCTGGTCAAGGGCAGGGGATAACTAGCACTAGCTTAGCGTGCGCTTACCGGGCCTCCCGTTTCCACTTGGGCCTACCGGGCCGCCGATTCCTGGCCTTTTCCTTCTTTCTTTTTCCACAATAACTATTTGTTAGTGTCTCTATAATTAATAGAGCTTATAGCGCAAGGAAAGGCGCGACGACGGCCGAGAAAGTTCAAACCCGCTGCCTAGTGGAAACACCCTGTAAGCCTTCAGCATTGTGAACCTGTCGTCGACTCACAATAGAAAATAAGGACCCTCAGTAGAAACGAAAACGGTATGTGATGCAAGAAGATAGCAGCAACACAAAAGAGCTTATTCGAACGGCAAAAGAACACGGAGATGTTCCGGCATGGATGGTGTTGCGAGGTGCGCACCCGGAATGGAGCCGTCAGCGCTGCATCCGTAGGGATGAAAGCAGCTGTGGAGACGCTCAATTTGCCTAACCGAAGCTGACCGAAGAATACGATCACGCGGCCCCGCCCCTTTTTTTTCCGATGTGGACTGTTACAGAGGAAGGACAGGAAGACCACCAAGAAAACCAGCGGAAAAAAACACCCACTGGATACCAGGGAAGCACCCCTGGAAAACACCACCTGCAAGCCCACCTGACAGAGGAGAAAGGAACTGCAACAGACAACACACCAGACAGGACAAGGACAAGGACGGGTGACCTGCCTGAGAGGTCAAAACCTCACTCTGACCACCTGGACAGGCGAGGGGCAACACCACCACCACCAAAGGCTGAAAACAACCAAACAGCCTCCCTCCACAGGAACGACTACGAAAGGAAACCCACAAAACCACAATAAAACACAACACTCCAACAGAAGAAACCAACAAACAAAACAGGTAACAGAAAAAACACCCATGCAACCCCCCGAATTTTGGGGCCCCTGATACCCCCACACATTCCCGAGTTTCGGGACCCCTGATACCCCTGCGTACCCCCGAGTTCAGGGACCCCTGATACCCCCTCGTACCCCCGTGTTCAGGGACCCCTGATACCCCCTCGTACCCCCGTGTTCAGGGAACCCGAGCAACCCTCAGCTCTGCCTCTACTGACCCAAAAAAACCCGAAGTGAAAACGCTTCCACCTCTGAACTGCTACCTACCAAACAAAGCCTAAACCTCCTGGCTCTCTGCTCCACACTACCAGCACCCTGATCTCTTCTACCACCTCTTCTCTCCTCCGTCCCCCAGCTCACCCCCTGTTCCCTACTCCCGGCTCCCTGTTCCCTACTCACTGCTACCTCCTTCCTGCTCTCTACTCCCTACTCCCTGCGCCCTGCTCCAAACTCCCTGCTCCCTGCTCCCTGCGCCCTGCTCCCTGCTCCCTGCGCCCAGCTCCCTGCTCCCTGCTCCCTGCTCCCTGCTCCCTGCTCCCTGCGCCCTGCTCCCTGCTCCTTGCTCCTGGGTGCCTGCTGTCTGCTGTTTGCTGCATGCCGCCTGCTGTTCCTTGCCATGGCCTGCAGTCGTGGACTCTTGCAAGCTCAGAGACAAGGCTCGAAGAAGGGACAAGTGCATACGTGTCTAGAACGCTGTTTAGAGGTGATGGCGCAAGTACACATTGTACGCATGCAGAGAGAGGGGATGTGGGTTTGGGGGAAGGGGACCCTTCGCCCACACGCCATAAGATGCATTCGCAGCCAAATTAAACACCTGCAGAGTTCCTTTTCAAACGAATAGGGCGGCTCAGAGTCTTTGACATTTGCACGCGGCAGCATTACGCCAATGCGTCGGATGGACAACCACTCTGGGGCCGGGCAATGTTACGACAGGCGTTAACGTTGATAGGAAACCGCAATCTGCTGTGACAGCAATCCTATCAGCCTGAGCTATGAAGGTAAGCGGGTAAAAGCGTGGCATCTTTCCTGGGTGAGGAGTTAACGAAGCGTCAGTTGACGAGGCCCAGCAGCTAACTGGTATTCCATAGCATCGTTAGGAGGTAACAATTGAAAATCAAGTGCAGGTTCGGGCTAAACCAAGTGCAAATGTCGGCTAAACCATAACCTCTCCAAGCACCTCGTACTGAGAGGACCCTCCCTGGAATTGTCATTCGTAAAACCAACATGCTCAATACCAAGCACTAATGACTACGAAGACAATAATGTAGTAAGGAACAGCGTGGTCTTATTGCTGCGAAGGAGTGCTCTCTAGACTTCAACATAGATGCGTACTAGAGCCTTGAAGGCCGCCATAACATTCATTCTTATTACAACCGCATACGCTGATTACAATGAAACGATTATGCAAACGATGTACGGGTCTGTTGCGGACTGGGTCCACTATAGTCCCCATCCCGACCCCAGGCAAGCAGCATTGCCTTTACCGCAGCGTCCCGGATCAAAGTTAACTTCTCTGTCCCGGGACGTTCTGCAGCCCTGCGTGTCGACTGGGTGCGCCATTGAGAGTCGCCTACTTCACCCGTCACAATGCCACGCTGTGGGACTGGATTGCGGTGACGAGCCACCTTCGCGCCCCCTGGACGCGTGTTAATCCCGGATTGTAAGCTGTATCCCGCTATGGGGGTTCATGACGCATGTAGTCCTTACCTCGTTCAAGGGTAGGTAACTCACTATCCAACTTGAGCTCCCTCAACATCCCATGCGCAGGTACCAGGCGTACGGGCTTGACACCACCACCGCCAACAGCGTTTGGGAGGCCCTGGGCCACATGCTGTGTCACATGGCGGACATCCTCATCTTCAGCGACACCATCCCTGACGCTCGCCCACTGCTGCAGGGCGGCTGTACGACACCCCTCATCTTGCAGGTTGGGTTTCTGCAGTGTCTAGGAGGCACCTGGGGCCCGTGTTCCGCACGCCCTTCTTAGGGGACATGTCATTGCCATGCAACACTGTGCTTCACCCCGTGGGATGCATGACGGCGCTGCTTAGGTCGTTGGCGGGACTACCGGTAGTAGTACCGCTGCCCATCACCTCGCGCCATGCGGGCTGTATGGTTACCAAGGTGCAGCAGTTATAGCGTGTACGGCAGTACGGTTTTCGGTACTAAGGCCATGCGGTAGGTGTTATTACCCTGGAGTTCAGCGCCTAACAGGAACATGCTGCCCGGCCCACAGGTGACAAACCGCTTTGACCACGGGATAGCACCCAGGGATCATGATGCATACACCGCACTGATGTCGGAAGCCGCTATCCAACCACACGTGTGGTGGGTGCTCAGCAACCCGTACGAGGAGTTGCTCATAAGCAAGTAAGTGTCGCTGTACTGGGAGGGAGGGAGGGAAAAGAAGAATACCCAATGCGTTGAATGAGAATGGCAGACAATGGAGGAGGAAGGGATGCTGCAACTGCGGCTTTTTGCACAGCGTTGCCCGGCTGGTGGCCCTGTTACGACGGCAAAAAAAGGCCGTTACCGCTGCCCGCACCGCACGCCATGCATCTTAACGCAAAACACCGGGCATGCGTGCAAGTCCCTACGCACCCTGCCTCCTTGCTAAGCCTAATGTGGGATTCATGTGGACCTTGCTTGCAGGCGGGGCATAAAGCTTCCACCGAGCCGGTTAAAGTTGCTCCGGCCTCTAGGAATGAACCTGCTGCACAATGGCAGCAGCCAGCCAGCTGACACGGATCGCTCTCGGTTTGCCTTGGTGGAGCCCTTGCGCTCAAACCGCCTTGAGAACACCGTCATTCTTCCTTGGCTTCGAAGCAACAGCCTAACAGATAACCTCCAGCTTTACCGTCAGCCACACGCCGGTCCCGCAGCGCTAGCGCAACACCGTGCTGTTATTGCCGTTCCGTATCAGGTGGGGACAGCAGAGTGCAAGGGCGAGTGCCTCTAGTGCCTTAGCTGGCATGAGGCCGCCTCATGCATTGAAAAAACACGTTAGCTGGGCGTCCAGATGTCATTTCCTACTGCTGGTGCACTTACCCTGCTTTCATAAACCGCGATTTTAGGGCCCGCAAATTACGCAACAGTTATCTCCACGTCACACTTCGCGCAGATGTCAGCCCTAAAGATGTATGAGGGCCTGTCAGCCGGGGCGGTCTTCGTGGTCCCAAGTCCGGCGTTCCTGAGGAACCTGACGTCGCAGCTGGACGCCAGCCAAATGGCCTTCTGTTGCAGGTAGGCTACGTGCATGAGGGAGGGGCTGTTGCTGCGTGCATGCCCTGGGGGTTTCGGTGGGAGGGGCCGTCGCTTCTGCCCTGTTAGGCTGCTCCTAAATTGGGGTTTGCTGTTGCGTATGACTGCCGCTACGTATGACTACGTGTGAGTGGCATTTCACCTGAGCTCTGCCACGTGTTGCCGCCTGTGCAGGGACTTGTTACATGACTATCCGGACAGCTGGCAGGACTACTTTGACTGGTATCACAAGGACTTTATAAACGCGCACATCCTCTTCGACAGCTGGGAGCATTTAAAACGGTTAATTAAAGGTAGGCAGGGTAGGGTATAAGGACCTGAGGCATTTGTTTAAGGGAACATGCTTACCTCATCGCCATCCCGCCCGGGCAGCCCGTCGACGTCGCTATGCGGGTGCGGCTGGTGCATGGGGATGAGGTGATTGCAGATAGCGCGGAGGAGGGCGGGCCTGACTTAGACCCTAGCCCGACCTGCTTGCGCGTCCCCTAGGAGTTCTACGCCTGAGTGCCTGACCCGGACCTTCCAACCGTGATTCTCTACTTTTGCGGTACCACCGTCCCGCAGACCGTGAGGGGACCGGGAAGCTAGTGGAGGAGAAGCGTGTGGTCGGGAAGGAGGCCATGCGCCTTTCTAGGCAACGCACGCTGGATGGCTACAGCAGCCTGTACCGCTCGCTCAGCCAGCAGGCGTGTGGGATGGCCCGCATGGAAAGAAAAAAGGGAGGGGCGCGGGTAGCCAGCCATGAGCAGGAGCTGCTTGCGGTGATCAGCAATTGGATGCGGGACTAGGTGATGGCCTAAATGACGTATTCCTTCCAACAAGTCATTATATAAACGGCGTGCATTGCAAGAATGTGCTAGCATCAATTGGGACCTGACTTGTCACCAGGCGCAAGTTGTGGGCGCTAGTGTAGGCGCTAGTTAGCACCTGGATTTGAAGTTTGCCATCCAAGTCGTCGCTGTGAGTAGGTGATTATAGGAACAAAAGCTAGAAGTTTACATCCATGATTAATTGGAAATTCATGCTTAAGCTTGATTGGTTTCCACTGTTGTTGCATCCCCCGCCTGGAAACAACGCAATGTTTTTACAAGACGCTGAACGAGCCTTGCGGGGGCTCCTGCCAAACGTGGCATTCCGGTGTGGGCTTGGTATTTGGCAGTTGAGACGGCGAGTGGCCAACTGTCTGTAGCTACATGAGAGTTGCAAAAAGTTGCCTAACAGTTGATTGCGCGCGGTTGGTGTGATTGGGTTTGTATTTACACAGGCTAAGCGCTGCCTGTCATCTCACTTAGGAATTGATCTTCAACTTTGCCACGGACGCGTGCACGTGCGTTGCGTTGCTTGCTAGTGGTGTCTGGCTTCCTTAGGAGTTATGCTACACCCACATAATCAACAAGTGCGTCGGGAGTGTGCTGTAGGCCCGCCTACACATTGCCTTGCTTGCAGGACACGTGAACAACAGTTGTTGCCCAGCGTCGGTTGAAGCAATACAAGCAACGTAAGGTCATCTTCTAAGTGGTTGCCTCTTCGATTTGGATATAAACCCATTACTTTGGCCTCGTAATACTAAGTACGACGGTTGACCGTACCCATGGCGACAAGGAGGGTACCACGTATCTGACGGTCCTGGACCTGCAGCCGTCTGGATATAAGACGCAATGCTGCATATCCCGTAGAGTCTGATCAGCCGCACAAATCGATTACATACGCAGTGCCGTACACAGGGCAAAGCTACGGCCCGCAATAGCATACCAAGCGGCCAAATGGTGCCTGTTATCATTCCAGGCTCCGGCCAGCCTCGTACGTGGCACCAGGTGCACGCCTCATCGCAGGCAATAGATCCAACCACGACCAGCCCGGAGTATGGGCACCTGCCAAAGCAACACCCAACTTGGCCATGACGGGACGGCCGTCATGCCCGGGTGTAGGTTGAGGTGGGTTTAGGGGACATCCAGGCGGGTAAGACCAACGACCAGGTTACCCACAAAGCTTTGACCCCTTTTAACATGCTCTTCCCGGCACTTCTTGTTGTGGAGTCCTTGCGCTGGGCCCGTTCAACGCCCCAGCGTTAACTTATTCCCTGCCAAAGAAATGCTTGGCCGTGAAGTGATAGTGGTAAAGAATTGCGCTTTCGACGTTACTAAAGGGGACCCGCGGTAGCCTGGCTTACCTTCATATCCAGCGAATGCTGCATTACACGTCCTGCGTAACCATTGATAGTTGTGTGACTAACATTTTACACCCGTCCCATGAGTGCGCTAGCATTACAGCGGAGTCACAAGGCTAACTGAATGTAACTTTTGTTCATGAGGCTGTCCAGTCATCATAGTAACAACCGTGTTCTCCTCACTCTCCAGCAACAGCTTGTGCTTTCGCGAAGACGAAAGGGTTAATGAGTCAAGCCGTACCATACTCCGGAGTCGGGCTTGACCGGCTTGTCGGCTGTCAGCACTCAGCGTGCCTGGTAGGTAAGCTTAGTTTGCTAAAGTAGAACGTGACTATACATATTGCTCAATCAGTTACGTTCTATAAGATAAATTCCTGTTATTGCAAGAATTCTGTTTCTCCTACGTCCGTTTTAGATGCCCACTTTTGCCCTAAGGGTTGTTACACTATGTATTCTCGTGGCACTTGTGTCTTCTAGTTATAATGAGACTGCCATACAGTTCATGTATGGCTCAGTTGCGGACTGGGTTCGTTTCAGTCCACGCCCAGACCTGAGGCAAGCAAGAGGGAGTATAATGACTAGTTGGATTCAAGCAATGCTTGGCTTAAGCCGCCTTGGGTTTTTGCAGCAACGCTTGCGGCCTCGGACTACCCTTGCGGATTGCATACTTCACCCGTCATAGCGGGACGCTATGGGACTGGACGGCTATAGCAAATCATCTTGAGGTCCCATGGACGCGTGTGAACCCTGGATTGTAAGTTGCGCGCTTAAACGATTAAGCTGTCTTTGCCGTGCTGCTCCGAACAGCACATCCCAAACTGGCGCGCGCAGAACTCCTATGTCGTCCCTTCTCCTCGCAGTTTTCAGACGTATGGCGTAAACACGACCAAAGCCAACATCATCTGGGCAGAACTGGGCCACATGCTGTGTCACATGGCGGACATCCTCATCTTCAGCGACACCATCCCTGACGCTCGCCCGCTGCTGCAGGGCGGCTGTACGACACCCCTCATCTTGCAGGTTGGGTTTCTGCAGTGTCTAGGAGGCACCTGGGGCCCGTGTTCCGCACGCTGTGCTTAGGGGACATTTCGTTGCCATGCAACACTGTGCTTGACCCCGTGGGATGCATGACGGCGATACTTAACTAAAGGATGCTTAGGCATTTAGGGGTATTAAGAGAAGTTTGGCACATGCCAAAATTGTTCTTCAAAACCAGGTGACCAATCGGTTTGATTACGGGATCAGTCCATCGGAGCAAGACGCCTATGTTCAAGTTATGGCAGATGCTGCCACACGCCCCCACGTCTGGTGGGTCGTCAACAACCCCTATGAGGCGCTTTATATCGACAAGTAAGTGACAACAGTTGGATTGCTCAGCATCCAAGGAGAACATTCACGGGGAATGGTTCGTGGGGGATGTTTGAGGGGCCGATATAACGGCGGGGCCCAAGATCCAATGTGGTTGAGAGATGAGGTTGGAGGGTCACGCCTAGGAGGCGCACGGCCAAGGTTTTAGAAGCCACGCGCAAGGTACCGCTATTGGACAGGGTGTATACATGTGAGTGAGTTGTTACAAGCTCTACGGCTCGTAAGGCCCAGACGAGCCAGGAGGCTCATGGGTGTATACATGGAAGTTGCTTCACCATGCACCATGCACTATTCTGCTGCTTCTGAGCCTCTGCAACCCTTCGGACCCCCGACCCGCGTCCTCCTGAGCCGCATGCCACTCCCCGCCGTGCGCATTCCGCCCTGCAGGCGAGGCGTCAAGCTGCCACAGGAGCGGTTGATGCTGCTGCGGCCCGTAGGGGTGTGTCTGCTGCCTCCCACCCACCTGCCCAGCCCGGACCAGGCTCTGGTAGCGCTGGTGCAGCCGTCGGGTCCCACACACCTGGAAAATACCTTTATCACGCCTTGGCTTAAGAGCCAATCGCTAACAGAATACGTTAGGCTGTACCACCAGCATTATGGCGGACCGTCGGTGCTTGCACAGCACCGCGGAGTTATCTCCATCCCCTACCAGGTGGGCAGGCAGGCAGTCATTTTGTACCAGGTAGAAGGCACTCATTGGGCACCACATCACAGGGATCACAGGCACCACCTCACTTCTAGAGCACCACACACCTCCATCCCAGCACCCGCTGGTACTGCGGGTAGTAGTTTAGGCTCCCCGCTTCAACCCTTGCTTGGACGGGAATGTTGAATGTGGTGGAGGCTGGCGGGTGCCAGAAGGGTTAGGAGGGTGTGCAAATACGGTAAGGATTTTGGGCGGTACCAAATTTCGTTGAGCCTGTAACCGTAGGGCGCGTACGGAGTGGCACAGTACGGGGTTGGGACTATGAAAGCACATCGGTAGTACCCGGCGTGGGCGGGGCGCGACTCATGATATGCCTTGACCCTGATGCCTAGGCGAGCACAGGACGTCATGGCCATGCAACTGCACACGTACCATAAAGCCGTGGACACATCAGGCCGCTTTCTTGATCACTGTCATGTAGCCTACTGGCTTCTGAGGCATTGTCTTTCCAAAACCTGCCTGATCCCACCGGCCGCATGTTGATGTGCGTGACGCAGATGTCGGTCATGAAGATGTACGAGGGACTCTCCGCCGGGGCTGTGTTCGTCATTCCCAGCCCCTCCTTTTTCAAGAAGCTGGCCGGGGAAATGGACGACAGCAAAATGGTCTTCTGCTGCAGGTGAAGAACGATTGCGTCGCGCTGTCTGCTGTTGCTGCCTGTTCGGGCTACTAGAAAAAAAGCTCCTTATGTTGGAGGGCAGTCACCATTGGGAAGATGGTTGGTAGTAGATGCTGTGCGGCGACATGCAGGATGGTGCTGAGACGCCTACCTTGCCCGCATGCATGCACAGGGACGTCCTCCGGGACTATCCGGACAGCTGGCAGGACTACTTTGACTGGTATCACAAGGACTTTATAAACGCGCACATACTCTTCGACAGCTGGGAGCAGCTGGCAAACCTAATAAAAGGTAGGAATTTATTTTTAGAAGGAACGAGACTTAACAAGAACGAAGTGTGAGGAGGTCAGAAACACGCCCTTCCACATGCCCATTGGGCATACACTGCAAGTATGCTATGGCTTTAGCACATCTTGCGCCCTAAACCCGAACCCGCGTTTCAGCGTGTTGGAAGCCTACCTTGTTGCTACATCTCTCCTTGCCCTCGAACCCGCTTTGCCCTGTCCTCTGGTTGTAACATGATCCTAGCCTCGTGTTGTACCTGGTCTGTTTGCACTGTCTTGGTGCACCCTAAACCTGATTTTAACCCGCTCGGGTTACCTCCTTCGGCACCAATCAGACCGTGAGGGCACTGGCAAGCTAGTGGAGGAGAAGCGTGTGGTCGGGAAGGAGGCCATGCGCCTTTCTAGGCAGCGCACGCTGGATGGCTACAGCAGCCTGTACCGCTCGCTCAGCCAGCAGGCGTGCGAGAGCATTGCGCAACCGGACGTGTTGTCACTGGGTTACAATGCGGATGCCGGGGTGTGAACAGAACCCCTTCCGCACCTTTTTGCGTGTCGGCTGATGCCGGTATATGCTTAGTGCATCACAGCTGATTAGGGGTTGTGCAATATGTGTCACCCCATGACATCAATCCAGGCGCTGGTCCCCAACTACTTTTTCAACAATTTTGCATGCGATGCAAAAGAACGTGTTTGTCGTACAGCGATGAGTCTTACGTGTCGTACATTGTCAAGTCTGTCGTTTTGCACGGTGGAGTCTGTCGTACATCGTCTGTCTTCAAGTGTAGAGTGAGCTAATTGGGCCGCTTTGGCCCACCTTTATCCATTAGGAGCAGGAAGCGCACGTGGGCAGTCCGTTGTTGTCGAAAGGGAAGATGCTTGGGAGAGTGCGCACAGGATGGTTGCAAGGTGCGATCCGGGGTGGTTATCTAAGGTGCAACTAGGGCAACTTTTTGTTGTGCCCGCGCAATGTGGGACACCTGACTTGGGCTGGGGTGATTGATGAAAGGCTGCGTAGGCAACCGTTGATAGCGGACAGGTATGGGGTCGCGGTACAGAATGGCTGCAACATCTTGAATTCACCGTAATTCGCCCTGGAGGGTATTGTATTTCTGTTTGCCTGTTTCCTTCATCTGCCGCAACAAGGCAAGCCCTCAAATTTTGGAAAACACCGCGACCATGGGCCGTGATGGGCCCTGACAAGGCAGGGCGGCTCCCTTTCTTATCATACGTATATGTTGCATTTGCGTGATTTACGTCCTTCGTTGCTAGCGAATGGATCCAAACCTGAAACCCTCGCTTGCACATGCAAGCTTTCCGCTTCTGGCAGGTGGCACATGCGGCTGTCCAGGTAGTAGTACCGGTGCATAGCTCTTTCGGAAGTTATGAAGCGGCACACCCATTGTGTCTGCCACCGGTCGCAGGAGATGAGCGTTTGGTGGGTGATTTCACGATTCTAGGACGGCAACTCCCAGCCTGACACGGTTGGTGATGGCGGTAAATGAATGGTTGTTAAAATGATTGGTGTCAACTCTTGCCTACCCGCCACTTGCGGGGTAGTCCGAACTTTAACCCAAGTACGGGTATTGATATTGGGTCAAGCACTCAAGCCATCATTACTCCGCGTTTGGACGGGTCTCTTGTGAGGACCTGCATGGTGGTTAGATGAACTGAGCCGCGATAAACACCGACCGTGACATACCGCATATATACCAAGAATGATGACGTCCCAGTTGGGGTCTCTATGACAGACGGTTGAAAGACATCGAATGTTGGGCTTGGTCAACGGCTGTGTTCCCCCAGAGGCGTTGAGGTTGAGGGTGACAGGGCTAGGTAGGTGAACGCCCCGTTGCTACACCTGCCGATGCGGTGGGTATTGGCGCTCAGGAATGTGATCAGAGTAGCTGGTAACTTTAGGCTAGGAACCGAATGAATATATTCTGTTGTGTACGACTCGTCCCTGTAGGGTCTTAACCAAAGGTGTCCAAGCAATTCCTGATGCTTACAGGCAACCGGCGAAAGTATCCACTGTTCTTGAGGACACCCACAAAGCTGCCCGTAACCTTCCTATGGTACCTTATCTTCAGAACAGCAGCACTGACCCCATTGCCACCGTTGTTAGTCACACTTGTGCGTGCGCAGTGATCCCAAGTGATACCAATCGTCATAGAATTCGAGGGCTACAACCATCACATTCATGTGCTTAACAACGACCCCGATTCCTTCTGTTCCATCTGTACTGCGTCGCTTCCCATTCCCTGGCCAACTTGGCCTTCTTCCTCAACGGTCATCCTTGCCATCCAAATGGCTATGTGAACTGGGAATAGCCTGATGGTTGCGGTGCCCAACACATGCTTGCGTCGTTGCGTCGTAAGTTGCACGGGACAAAGCACCACTGTCTAGCCTTAACGCATACTTTTACTTGCAGTTTTTGTCTTAGCTTCTTACGTTTTCATTCTTGGCTATTTTTCGTATTTGTGCTGCGATCCATGAGCCTTTTGGCTCGGACGAAGCTTGTAACTTATACACATACATAGCCTTAACCCCAGAAACTGTTTATGATTTGTCAGCATCATGTTCCAGGTTGCAAATAGGCCCGAAATGGCTGGCTGCGGTCTGTACTGAGTGTCCGACAAGACTGTATGTATACGGTGACGAACATACTGGTCCCTGATCTGTCCATGATGGATGACAGTATGATAGGGCACGTCGATGCTTCTCAGCGTGAGCTGGGAATGTGGAACGAAGCACGCGAAGGCAAGCTCCAGGGAAGTAAGTAAACTTCATGACCTCACGGCGGGGCTGCTCTTCCAGAGTGTGCAGTATGGAAAACGTAAGGACCTTATGCAATAGGGTACAGTGCCTCCGATGCTGCTTACTGTACTGACGGCACTCGCCTTGCTTAATATCGCAGCTACAGCTGGCGAATTAGACACGAGCACTCTTAACAAGTCTGACAATGGCCACCCATTTTGCTCGTCTAGCCTTAAGGGTGTTCAGCCTTATGCCCGCGAAATTGTTGACTTAACTCAGGCCCTGCAAACGGCCCATGGCATCCCAGATGGGGCTTGCCTTTTCAATCCAGCACTTATCCGCGTAGGAGGGAATGTTTTCAGCACCTTCGTGAGGGTTTACGTTGCAGCGGATAAAGAGCGTCGATGTGTTCCTGGGCAATTTGACAGGGCACCTTTCATGGATGACTGGAATGGTACGCAAGCAAGCATGCTTGCTGTGTTGCGGATCCGAAGGAAACAATCCGGAGGGACACAAACCACCCTCATGGGGCATCGGTACTTCAACATCAACTACGAGGACGGTCGGCTTTTCCGCGACAACCATGGTCGCATGTTCATCTATCTCGCAGTGCCGTTCGGGGCCTTTGGGGACGTCGCTGCGACAGCCAATACGGTTTACCGCGTTTACATCACTTGCCGCCGCTTGCCCAACCTCCTCTGCGACGCAAAGCTGGGACCCCCTCGACTCCTTCGCTACGACAAGAGCCTGGCATGGGAGAAGAACTGGGTTCCCTGGAACGGGACAACGCTTATGTCCTATCCCCAGGCTGGCTCATTCGGTCCTCACTCCGTGTTCAACTGGTCCTCTTACACGGAGCCTATACCGCATACCCGCTTCACCTCAGTCGCAAACCAGACCTTCTTCTCAGTTTGGCAAGCGACGTTTGGAAAGCTTATTGAGCTGGCAGGGGGCACGCCAGCCATCTTGGAGCCATCCCGGGAGTCGTACCTGGCTGTCGGCCATCTCCGGGTACACCCCGGATGCCTCCATCCGCACTCCATATCTGGCTTAGGCAAGCTGGTTGGAACCGATGTCAAGCCCAATTGCACTCATATGCTGGCTTTGCCCAAGCGCATAAAACTGGAGCTTCCTTTCCGGCCCTTTACTCACGGGTATGCTACTTCCGGTTGCCCTGCCTTGCTTGTGCTAAGCTTGGTAGTTCCGCTTACGTACACGTAGGAACACGGACATGTGGTTAACATGGAACTATTGCACATGCAGTTAGTGGTTCGGTAGTTACGGGTTGCTACTCATATGGACTAACGGCTCCCATGTTTGTTTGGCGCTGCAGGCACGCAGATGGCAACACGAGCAGTCATTACCTGGTGGATTTCGCCTTCTTCTTCTACAGGTTAGTGAACCACCGATACCGTTACGTCTCAACCTTTCCCTTTCATGCACAGCAGCACCCCTCACATCCCCTTTCGGGCACATCACCACTCCTGTACTTCTCGCAACTAGCATGACCATAGCCTAACCCTCATCCGCTGGTGTGCAGGTTTAGTGCGTTTCCGCCTTATAATGTGACCCATCTCAGTCATGGCATTTTGCCGCCATCGGAGGGTCATGTTGGAATTGCGTTTCCCAGCGGGCTTGAGCGCCTCGAGGATGACTACATTCTGTCGTACGGTGACGCGGACCAGGCAGCCAGGCTTCTGTTCCTAGAGCAGAGGGACATCGACGCGCTCCTTATCCCGTTGCCCGACATGCTTCGGGACATTTCGTCCTTCTCAGTGTGTACATTGCCCCTAGCTCCTGCTAAGAAAAGGGCCCCGGGAATTCGACTTTGAAAACATAAAGAAGTGCAAGTTGCATGAGACGGCGTGCGCTATATTACGTGCTGTCAGCTCTCCAGGCTTAGCTTGATGCTGGTACCTCTTGTTATACGCGGCGGCGGGCGTGTAGTTGCGCATATGTGGCATACTACGGCATTCCAGTACGGCATGTACGATGGGGGTTTTCCCGTGAGCGCCTGAGAGGGGCATGGTGACTGAGTTTTTTTGGCGAGAAATAGTTGACAGTTGTAGTTGTTGGAGAGAAGATGTTGGTCGTTGCAGTTGTTGTGGCGGGAAAGGCTTCAGCGCTGAATGGGATGTGCTGGCAGGGGTGGCATGGTAGGACTATAAAGGAAGTAGGGTAGGGGTTCGGTGTTAGGGGGAAACCGAAATGAGGACTAATATGTTCATTGCGATGTACAATAAGAGTTGCAAATACAGCCGCACTGATTAAGTCATGATGGCCTAATCTACTGCACTTTTGGGTGCAGCTCTGAGCCAAGGGCTTGGTATTAAACTGCCATACATGTCAATTGCTGTCATTCTTGTGGGCTGACAAATGAGGTGATCAACAAATCAGATTGTTTGCTAAGCTGCCTATGCTTGCCGTGCAGTTACTGATTCGGCCGCTTGACTTGGCCGTGTGCCGCAACTATGGTCATTAGCGTATGTGGGTATTACATTTTGCTGTGTGTTGCTACTAGGAGTCGTTAGTTAAGCATGTGGAGCGTATCCACTTGTCGAATGAGTGGCGCACTGAAACGTATGGGAGGTTAATGGCTGATGGCTAGTCCTCGGATGGCTCTAGGCCCAGGTGTGTTTCAACAGACGCGTGTAACGAGCTTTCGACTTGTTGCGGAATGATAGCAGGAGTTGTTGTGGGAGGAATAGCAGTATGTGAAGAGCACCCACGGTACCAGTACCATCATGGTCACAGTACTGAGTGAGGATTGCAATTCTCCTAGGCCCTGGTCAAGGCCGGAAGAGCACGCCCTAAACATGACGTGGCTGCAATGTTGCCGCTGATCTCGTCAGCTGAAATATATAGATTGTCCGCATCGGTTCTAAACGCTAGTGCAGCTGTCAGCTGCGCTAGCAACGTGACCTTGTGGGTAATCCCTACTACCGTATTCATTAGCCTCTTCCCTGGTGTGGTGTAGTCTTAAGCCGGGGATTACTATCGTCATCCACTTTTTCCTTGCTCTTACATATGCTAGAGTACGACAGAACAATTGTTTACGGTGGCATACTGCACTATGGGCCAGAGCCTGTAGGGTTTGGGTGACGAGGGAGTTGCCATGACGTTGTGTCCAGTTGGATGACGTTGCTTTGGCGTAACTGGCTGTATTTGTGATTCCCGGCTTCTTTACGCTTCAGTCACCTAATTTCCCCGGCTCGTTAAGGATGAGCGCTCACACGAGCTGCTGACATGCCTTGGCAGCTCCCTGGTGTATGCATACATGGGAGCTTGCTAGGAGCTTCACTTCGCCCATTCAGTCTGGGCAGCTGTTAACTTTGCTCGTCAGCTCGCCCGTTTCTGTCCCAGAAGCCGTACAGGGGGTGGGAAAGTCCAGGAGGGTAAATGAAGGTGGTGATGGTGGGTGGTGGAGTTGAAAGCTGCATTGCAAATTACTAGCAAAAATGCCAGGTAAAGCAGGCAACTAGGTAAAAGGGCAAATTGGGCACGCGTTGACAGCTTGGCTGACACAAAGGGCGTATGGCTACGAGGCGGGCTGACCAGGTACCACAATGGCAGTCACGCATAGCACGCACCACTATGGCCAGCAATTTAAACTCCCTACACGATTTTGTTGTTGTCAAGTGCCAGGAAGCCCGACGCTGGCCAACAGTAGTCCCGCAAAATGGCAAATGGCGTGCGTTGCCCATTTGGTGGGTTGCACAGTACCTGGAAAGTACTGCGTAGATTCTCATTCCCTGCCAACTTGGTCTTTTCTTCAATGGTCATCCTTGCAAACCCAATGACTTTGTGAACTAGGAATGGCCTGATGGTTGCCGCGCCCAATCAAGTACCGGTATACTTGCGTCGTTGTGTCGTTAGGTTGCACGAGACAAAGCACCACGGCGAACTGCCTAGCCTTAACCTCAGATACTGTATATGACTTCATTAGCATCAGATTACAGGTTGCATGTAGGCCCAAATTAGCTGCCCGCGGTTTGTACTGTCAGACCAGACAGGCAATTTACGACGACGAACATTGTAACATGCTGGCCCCTGGTCTGTTCTAACTTCTACGCATACGATGTAACGAAAACAAAGACATAACCATGTTATGAAGGTTTACAAAGGCTTCCCAGTCAAGGCATCTAGCTCAGACAGTCACAGCCAGCTACCGCTTCACGCATAGTAGGATACATGTCAAGGCGTGCGTAGATATGGCATTTTTAGGAACACTTACCTCGTTCTTACTACTATTCACACACATAATCCACAACGCTCGTGCAGCGTCCATTCACCCGTTATGTGGCAGCAACATAACAATCGACAACGTTCAACCAGTAGCTAAGAGTGTGACAGATCTGACGGCGCTCTTCCATGGTCTGGAGCTGCCGGAGGGAGCATGCATTTTCAACCCAGCGTTGGTCCAAGTGTCCGGACCCCTGTACTGCTTATTCGGGCGTATCTATGAAGCAAGCGAGCCAGGCAAACGCTGCGCACCTGGACGTATGGACCGCCCTCCGTTCCTAGACGGGTGGCGAGGCAAGTCAACTAATATTCTCGCAATCCTATGGCTACGCCAGGACCCCAACCGCCGGAGACTGCAAACCAAGTTAATGGGTCACACCTACATCAACGCATCTAACCATGAAGACGGGCGTTTGTTTAAGGACTCGCGCGGACGAATATATGTCTACTTGGCCCTGCCCATCGGTGTATACCCCAAGCGTGCCGTTATCAATACAGTAAACCGGGTCTTCATCCAGTGCAACCGCTCCTCGTCGCATTGCGCCGTTTCATTGGGCTACCCCCGAATACTCAGTTTCCTGGGCAGTGACAACGCCATGGACAAGAATTGGGTGCCATGGAATGGCTCGGAATACATGTCCTTCTCACACTACGGCACCTTCGGGCCGCATTCCGTCTTCAACTGGGGCTCTTATGACGAACCCGTGCTCCACATAGACTTCGATTCAGTGGCGGAAGACTCACTCTTCCCCAACTTCAACAAGCATTATGGACATTTGCTGCAACTGTCAGGCGGGTCGCCCGTGGTTCTGGAGCCTGGAGGGAAATCCTACCTTGGAGTTGGTCACTTCAAGGCACATCCAGGGTGCTTCCATCCTGAAGCTATGCCGGCATGGGTGGACAAGTCGCGGTTCGGCCACATGGTGGGCCAGCTGGGCACCAACTGTGCGCACCTGCAGCAGTCCAGCAATGAAACGACCAGGAGCGAGGTGCTGCGTGTAGCGTTTAACTTTCTGTGAGTGGAGCGAAGGGGGATATGGGTTTCGGGATGCGGGAGTTTATGTGGGGCTTTACGGTGTTTGCCTGACGACGCAAGGGTTTGCCTGCTTCTCTGACCACTGCGTGTGGTGCAATGCGCAACGTTAGGCGCCATGTAGCAGTTCAGACGTCGGCACTCCCACTTACCCTACGCCCTGCTTGCTCGATGCCCCTCTCCACGGCTGTTGGTGCAGACACGAGGGCAAGGAGGGCATACACTACCCTCTAGACTATGGCTTCTTCTTTTACAGGTTCGTCAAGTTGGGGTTGGGAGGGCGGTTACGCCATGGACCCTCTGCAGCGGTCCGGGGTGCTTGGTACCCATGCGGGGCATTCGCCGGCTTGTCACCGGCTTCCCTCCTGCCTCCCATGCGCAGTGCAGCCTTGCCGACTGTCCCAATTCCCGGAACACATCCTACAGCTCCTAGCTACAGCTCCGTTTCATGATTCCAACCGGATTCAGTCTCCCTGCGGGTGTCTTCCGCTTCTTAACTCCCTTCCCACTTCCCTCCGTACACCTCCGGCGCTTTTCGCCCCCATTAGTCCCACCACTCCCCGCCCTCCACCTTCTTGGTGCCAGGTTCAACGCCGCCGCACCGCACAACATCACGCACATCAGTCATGGCGTCATCCCCTACACCTGGCGAAACGCAAGCGACCATCAGGGGATTGTCTTTCCAACTGGGCTAGAGCGACTGGGATCGGATACCTACATCATAGCCTACGGGGATGAGGACCAGGCATCCAAGCTGATGACCATCTCCGCGAGACGGGTGGAGGCGCTGCTGTGGCCTCTGCCGAAAATGGAGCAAAGCTTGGATACGTACACTGTTTGCGCAATTGGGTGTGAAGGGGAAGAGGGAGGTCGGTGCTCGTATGAGTAGGTTTGAGGGGATGAAAATTCGGGTTTGGAGCAGTGGAGACTGTAGGTGGGATGTTGTAGTGAAAACCCGCATGGGCAAGGCTCCGTGAATACGGAGGAACGTGGCATGGGAAGTGCGGGAGGCTTGGCATGAGGCAGAGGTTAGGGTTTTGAAACGAAAGACAGCTGGGTCATTATGGTGCTTATTTGGTTGGGTCTTCTACATCATTTGCGGTTGCTGATAGTTCAGTTGACTTCAGGTGTTTCTATAACGGGTGCGCCAGTTGCGAGTGAATGCCTGCGCATGTTAGCAAAGTGTCTTAGGCACGAGACTGCAAGGCACAGCAGAGGTGGGGCGAGGGAACGAAAGGGCAACATAACGGGTGGCCGCAAGTGTGTTGCGTGGTTGGGTGTGTATGTTGGGATGTATGGCATGGGAGGCAGCACCTGTACTGCCATTTCCCTGTCTTCCGTTGCCATACCAACGCTAAGATTTGATAAGGACAATGCTATCGGGTGATTTGTATACTGCTCAAGTTGATGAACTGAGTCTGAGTTGTGGGCATGTGCCTTGGTGGCTGCAACTTCAACGGTGTATGTCGTGTGACCGCAAGTGTGCCGTACGCATATGGTCGTGCAGGCCTTCACGGTGTTTCCACGGCACCTAATTTTATACGTACGAAGGGCGTGCAATTGAGCTAGGCAACGGATGGTGCGATCACGTGAAAAGGGCTGAACATTTGTTTTCGTATAGCAGTATGTTGGGAACAGCCGTATGTTGGGTACAGCCGTGTACCCTTCACTAGGTCTGCATTAGACCAGGAGTGGAACTGCATTTAGTGCGGTTATATCGCCGACTTAGTAATTGCTAAATCCTATGTACCAACTGTTCTTGGTGAAGCCGCGAGCTATACGCCCGCACAATGTGGGGTGTCCTGGACATTGGTCAGCGAGTTTGCGAATGAGCCGTGTACGATGTTCACCGGTATTGAGTCTGCACAGGCGCGCTAGTAGCAGCCACATGCTGATTTTGCTTTTGATGTACGTTAGGGCAGGGTTAGAGGCAGCGAAACCAGGCAGTGTTATTTGTATTGAGGCGACGGGGTGTTCCGGTACGGCACAAGCGACACTGAGAGCAGGCTGCGAGGCTAATTGTAAGAGCTCCATTCGTTGGGAGGCGCTTGACGCCAACACGGGTTGTACGCAGTTGGAGGCTTGTTACCCCGGGTTCGTGCCTCCAGTTAACCTGGATTCACCGCGCCACAAGGCACATCCCGTTCCATACAAGCCAAAGCAGCTTCACGGCATCAAAAGCAAAGAACCTGGCGCCTAGACATTAAACGCCTAACCATAGGAGCACGAGGACCCCCGAAGTCGAGAAGACTGCTCAGCAAGCTTGGATGCAAGTTCGCGGACTCATGACTACCAACATCTATAGCGCCAATGGATGTATCTATCAACGCAACACAGGGTGTTCCAGAATCAAACTTGCCCGAAGCTGAAACCCCGCAAGCCGGCCAAGCCCGCATCCCAATCTGTTGGCTCCGGGACCATATTATGCGCCTTTCATGATAAGGCAATTTCCCAATCAAGCCTCCCTTCGGTCGGGTGAGAAGGCGAAATCTGCTGGCACGCTTAGCATATTGAAGTGTTTGGGAACCAGGGCAGCGAAAGGCATAGGGGTGAGTCGAAGAGAAGGTCATGGTGCTAAGCCCGTCTATGTGCATGAAAGGAAGCCGAATCTTACAAAAGAAATGCGCATACGCCTATGCTTCCAAGCGCGGGCCGGGCCAGGGTGGGACGGTGCATGAATGCAAAGCGCCCCGGCTGGGCTAGTTACGTTAAGCTTTAGCTGGATGACACACAGTCCTGCCTGGGCAGCTGGGCTAGATACATTGCACCCCTCCCCGGGATGTTCCTGTGTTGCCTGAGCTCAATTGAGCAGGGCAGGAATACCTACATGCATATGCAAGCCCTTTGGGAAGGGCGCGGACGCTGCGTGGACGGGGGCTATGGCAGGACAGGGCTGGGCATGCTGCGTGTATGAGTGACGGTGATTCGCCCGGTGATGCCTGCGCGCCCGGGTGCTTGGAAGTTGGGCAGGACACGGATGCCTGTATGGATGGGCAATACGGTAACACCTGCACGTAGTGGCGCTGTGATGTGGACAGGGGGATGTCTGCACCTTAAGGCACGCATGGGCGCAAGTAGTCTTGGGTGATGCCTGCACGCGTGAGCACTGGCCCTTTCGCTATATAAGCACGGTCGGGGATGAACGCGGCAGGGATGCCTGCATGCCCGCGCTAGGGCCCGTGAGCTGGGCGGGTGTGTGTGTGCATAAGGGCGGTCATACCGGGAGAGGGTGAGGATGCATATCCGCAGCTGGGCGAGATGAATTGTGCCCTGCTCCAGCACATACCGTCCCGGCTGGGCGAGATACACTGCACCCCATCCCGGCGCCGGCAGGGTAGGTGCACTGATAGCCTGTTTGCATGGGGGTATGTATGGGCGCCAGCTGTCAGCCAAAGCGGGAAAGGCTGCATGCACGGGTGGACGTACTTCAGCCCTTACCTCAGCAGGGTGAAGATGCATGGACGCCCTGCATCCCGCAGTTGGCCAGTGTGGGGACACCGTCCCCGCTGGCGTCTAGGAAGGGTGCGCATGCTGCGTGTACAGGGGCTAGTGAGCAGGGCGGTAATGCGTGCGCCCACGGGCGCTGATACCTTGGGTTGGGGCCGCATGAACACCAGCACTTGGCAGGGCAGGGATGCATGCTTGCATGGGTGCCAGAACAACGCTGGCAGGACGGGGCACTCCGCATACTTGTTTGCCTGCGTGCATGGGGGTGCAGGGATGTCTACATACCGGTACATGGGCCCAGCTGTCAGGCAAAGCGGGGAAGGCTGCACGCACGGGTGTACATACTTTAGCCCATACTTCAGCAGGATGGAGATGCATGCAAGCCAGTGGTCGGGAAGAGCAGGGAGCCAGCACGCGTGGGCGCTTTTGTATGGGCAGGATACCTGTGCGTTTGAGAGCCGTAGTGGGAGAGCGTGAGGGGTCCGTCTTGCTAGAGCACCTGTTGACATTCATGGGATGCCTTCGGCATGCCACATCTGTGCTGCTTGCGCGCTGCGTTCACTCGATGCTGTCGTTTTGCATGTTCTTGCTGCACTCAACCTGTGTTTGCGGCAATCGTCGTATTGGCAAACCTTGAACTGTGCGAGCATGCCGGCACGCACGGGTGCTTTGTACCGGTAGTTGCCTACACGAATGTATGGGTTTCGGCCGTTAAGGGTTGGGTAGCCTGCACGAACAGCAGGGCACGGCGGGGATGCCTGCCTGCACACGTGCTTGGTACTTGGGCAAAGTGGAGATTGCCCTGCAAGCTTGAGCGCTGTGATTTCGGGAGGAGGGACGCTTGCACGCTTGGACGCTGTGCTTGGGCAAGGCGTAGATGCCACACATGGACACCCGTCTTTATAAAGTATAGAGGTTCTTCCACGAATGAAAGCTAGCCCCTTGGCAGCTTGAGCACGCACGAGGATGCATGCGCACAGCATTTGGGCAGGGGGGATGTCAGCATGCACCTTCTGGCACGCATGGGCTCGAGTCTTCGGAAACCACTGTGATGCCTGCATGCATGAGTGCTTTCACAGTTTGGGCACAGGCGGGGATGCACTCAGCAGGGATGCCTGGATGCAGGGTGAATGCGTTGCATGCACGGGGGCCAGTGAACAGGGTGGTGTTGTGTGCCCAAACAGGCGCTGCCGTAGCACGCACCATCCCGAGATGCACTGCAACCCTTCCCGACAACGGCAGGGTAGGTGCACTGATTGCCTGCGTGCATAGGGGGTATGTATGGGCGCCAGCTGTCAGGCTAAGCGGGGAACGCTGCATGCACGGGTGTACGTACTCCAGCAGGGTGGAGATGCATGCACGCCAGTGGTTGGGTAGAGAGGGGGAGGCAGCACGCATGGGCGCTTTGGTGTGGGCGGAATGCTTGCGCGTTTGGAAACTGTACTGGGAGAGAGAGTCAGGGCCCCCAGGCCACCTGCTGACCTGCCCGTTCATGGAGCTGCCTGTGGCATGTGGCACCTGTGCTCACGTATGTCACCTCAAGCCACCACATGCGGTTGGCTTGCAAAGCAATGATGGCGGGATGCAGCAGGTCAAAGGGGGGGCGATGATGCCAGCCTGCATTTGGCAGCTCAAGCACGCATGGGGCCGCACGCGCACAGCATGGATGCCTGCATGCCTGTTATTATGGGCTTTGGGCAGAGCGGGAATGCTGTGTGTATGGGTTGGGCAGGCTGGCGCATGCCCACATGGGCGTCAGTACTTGGCAGGCCAGGGAAGACATGGATGTTTGCTGGGCAGGGTGGAGACGCTGGGATCGAGCGTGACACTACTTGCACTGCCGCTCGCGGGTTTTGTCGGGGCACGTGCTGACCTTCATGTTCGTGAAGCTGCTTGGCGCATGTGCAGCCCGCACGTGCACACTTTGGCTCACCGTTCTGCTTCTCTATCATTCTAGTAACGCGTTAGCAAGCATTGCAGGCGGCGAGTATGAGTTTGGCGTGGAAATGCAGAACGCATGCACTACTCAAGCGACAGGCCATCGCCGTCCTCTTCAAGGAAACATATTTAAAATGTTCAAGCTTAATGCATCTAAGCGCTTCACGCGCTCACAGAACGTCTCTGAGAGCGCAACTAGAATTCGTCGCCCCTTTGCGCTTTCGGCGGACGCTTTTCGCCTACACCGCTTTTGTCCATAACCAGTAACTATAAGCTAGTACAATGCAGCCTTAGCTTTGACAATTTCACGTCCGAAGCTCAGCCCAGAAGTCTGAACGTCGCCCGACGCGAAGGAGCCTTTATTTACATAGCTTTTTTTTATACGTTTTTACAGCTAACGTCAGAGCGTACATGACGGTTGTTCCTGCGTCCTTCGCTGCAACCCTTCTATAGCGGTTCTGGAGCCCCAGGTTTTCTTGTCGTACACCAGTCCCCTGCGGGCGAAACGTTAAAGGCGTGCCTTCGAAATCAAGCCTCCCTTTGGTCGGGTGAGAGGGCAAAATCTGTTGATTGCAGGTAGTGTCTGGTGTGCGGATGTAGGGGAGGATAGCCAAGCTGGTGGTGCGAGGGTGTTTACAGAGGGGTAGCCCTAGTGCGTCCTCAAGTAGCGTTTATTCACCGGGCGGTGGCTGGGATAATACTGAACCACCCCCTTAGCATTGGAGACATGGGACATTGCCCTGAACAAACGAAGAGTACAACGAAATAAGGCAACACGTAGATGCAAATCGAAGGTGTTTCAAAAAAGCTTGTTGGAGGCGTGAACATGCGTAATGAAAGCGGGAAGCTATTGTCGGCGCAGGCGCACTAAAATTTCAACCGCCCAGTACGAGTGAACCGTTCACAACACATCTACTCGATAGCTGTTTGACTACATAGCCAACGGACTGGACTCCAACTTATGGGGCAAGCACAGTCCGCTCCGACTCGCGGCAAACACACGCCTAACACAATTGTGCCACATGAGAGCAGCAAGTATTAGTACAGAGCGCAAGGAAGGATGTGCGGTATGTCAACCTTATTCCAGTAGTATTGTTACAAAGCGCCGACGCGAAGGTACTGTGCGGCGGGTGCGGGAGTAGGAGGTCTAGGTGTGGCTGACCGTGAAGGAGGTGAGGAAGCCGTCCTGGATGGTAGCCTCGCCGTGCACCGCGGTGATGGAGGGCAGGACGCAGTGGGCGGCAGCGCGTGCAGCCTCAGCGAAGGTGGTGGCGGTGCGGTTGGAGGCGCCGTCGTGGGGGGCGGCGGTGTTGGGTACAGTGTAACCATGCGCGGGCATGAACATGTGCGTAGCGGCGTCCGAGGTGACGATGACCTGGGGGGTGCGGGTTATGGCAGAACGAATGCGAAGTTAAACTGGTAGTTGTAGAAACGTTAAGGAAGGTTGGATGGAGGAGAGCAGGGCGGTAGGGCAAGGGCAGCAGGGATGTAAGGTAGAGCAGATGTGCACCGGCTAGAGAGTTCCTGAATGCGTCGTTTAGGGCGGTGGTGAAAAGCGTGCCGAGGACGATGACCGCCGCGTGGTCGTCGGCGCTTGCGTTGCAGGTGGGGCAGTGCGTGGCATCCAGGGGCATGGAGGAGCCGCAGGCGGT